GGGGGGAGGGGGGAGAAGAGAGAAGAAGAAGCTGTAAGGATATGAAGGGCAGGTAGCCAAAAGGACTGAGCCCAGCTGCAGAAAGGCAGATGAAGTGAGGCTCAGGTATAAGGTAAGATTCCACATGACGGCGCCTTGAACTCTATCAGGAGATAAACCCAGAGCCAGAAAATAGCTGGAGTCAGAGAGCAGAGTTGGGAACAAAAAGCCCACTTGAGAACTTAGGCTCAGCCTCCAGCTATGAGCTCCTTACCAACTGGTCAGTTTCAGAAGGTTTCCTCAGATGTGCACCCAGGGCAACTCTGCATCTTTATTAAGGCCTGTGGCATCCAACTACCCTCATGAAGAATGCTGGCTAGTGGATCATCAGTTACCAGTAAACCCAATTCCCACTGCTCTTCTGATTCTGGCTAGTAATTTCCTAGAGAAGCCACAGAGAGATTCTGGGGATGGCAGCCACTTTCTTTAGCCAAAGAAAACAGGCATGCAGGGAACAAAATATCCAGCTACCTTTTCGTGCAGGGCCTGGCAGCCTGGCTCATGGTACTGTCACTCTTCTCATTATACTTATCTGTGAGAATTAGGGGTGGCCAGATCAGAAATGTTTGCAAACCCAGACAGGAAATCCCAGTGGTTAGGGGCCAGGGTGAACATACCAGGACCTGCCAGGACCTAGCAGGGAAAGGGTTCAGAATAGCCAAATTCTGTCTGTCCCAAGTTCTGATCCTAGGTGTCCACACATGTACAGGATGGCTTCTGCCAAGAATCCTTCAGCCTCCATCTCCCCCACTGACTGCCATTCTCCTATATTTCTTTTCCTGGTTAGCAGTACCTAGTCCAGCCACCTTTTTGACAGTCCTAGCAAACAGACCTCTGTCAGCCCTGATGGGCTACTCTGGGCCTTTGTCAGGCCTGAAACCCACTTCCCCACAGATCACCACTGCGTTCCCTAGGCTGCCTTTCCCCAGCCTTTCCCTCTAGTCCATCTACCTCCCAATCATGATTTCACTGAAAATGACTTTTTCTATGTTAACTCTGCCCAGGCTGCTACTAGTGAATTATGAACATCCCAGAAAAGTAATGACTCCAACCTATCTGTTTACCTCTTATATCAGTACACTCTTCACTGTTGCTTTTACGTCCTGTACTAGTATAGCTCTCTCTATTGCTCCACAGCAACTACCATCCTGATGAGCAAAAGTGCTGGCCAAAGTCTAGGCCAGGTCACAGGCATGCAATCCCCCACCACTGATAACTATGTAAACTTCTTATCCAGTGCCAAACCCTGCTCACAAGTGCCACAAAGGCCAGGATCATGACCAGACCACTGTGCACTCTCACTTCCCATCCTGGGCTTAATAAATGTTGCTGAATTGATAGTTCAACAAAGGGCATGGCCCTGCTAGCCCTCATGGGGCTCTAATGGTTGGAAGCAGCTGCAGTTCCCAGAACTCAGCAAAGGCTTCATGACATGGCTTTCACGTCAAGGTCTATCTTTGGGTCTCTCACTAACTAAAGTGGCTCCAAAGAAAAGATCCTCCAAGGTCCCCTATGTACCTACCAAGGCTGTGGCCATTCTTTGTGTAGAAACAGGTGCCATTGATGAGGTTAACACAGCAGCCAATCACATCTCCTGTGGTGAATGTAGGACCATAGGGCTGGCCCGTCCCAGAGGAGCAGAAGGAATGTCCATCATCACCATGGTAACCATAGGAATGTTTGTCCCAACCTATGGGGGAAAGACAGACGCAATAGCTGAGAAGACATGACTGGGAAAGGGACAACACAGACACAGAACACAGAACATCTTCCAGGCCTCAGCCCCTCTTCCCAGGCTGCCTCAGTCTTGGCCCTTGTGGCCACTCAACAAGGCAGGCATGGCCAGGCTCTGGCTGTGCCAAACACACATCCTGGCAGTGAGTTCAGCAAGGTGCCATCCTGAGGAGCTCAGGCTGCTTGGCTAAGGAAGTGGTCCAAGCTGCAGACACTGGGAACCAAAACCTTGAAGGGACTTATCAGGTGATACAACAAGGATGCAGTTGGGGGGCCTTAAGAAAGACAGGTCTGGAGCTGACCTCACAAGCCTATCGTGCTGTGTTATTAAAATGTTTAGTATGAGGAATGACTTACCTATAATAAGTCTTTGCTTTTTTAACATTATAGTTCAAATGAGTTTTAACAAATGTATATACGAGTTGCAATAAAACATTTCCATCACTCCAAAATTTTTTCCTTATGCCTTTTACATTTGATGCACACTACTCACTGCTAGTTGCTTCCAACAGTTACTGATTAGATTTGTTCCTATGCTTTTGTTTTTTCTAGAACCTGATAAAAACAAAATCACAGAATACAGCTTTCTGCACTTAGTATTTTGAGATTCCTCCATGTTGCTAGGTTTGGCCTATTCACATTTCACCTCTTTTTGTTGCTAAGTAATATTTCTTTCTTTCTTTTTTTTGGCAGAACGGGGGATTGAACTCAGGCCCTTGTGCTTGCCAGGGAAGCGCTTATTCTACTGAGCTATCTCCCCGGCTTGCTAAGTAATATTTCAACTTATGGCTATATCATGCTTGTCTTTGCATTTACCGATGGATGACATTTGTTTATAATTTTTTGTTATTATGAATAAAGCAACAAATATTTATAAAGAGATCTTTGTGCACACATGTTTTTTTTTTTTTTTTTTGCACACATGTTTTTATTTCTCTTAGGTAAATACTAAATATACTTAGAAGTATTATTGCTGGGTCATAAGATAAATGTTTAACCTGATAAGAAACTGCCAAAGTATATTACAAAGTGGCTATGCTATCAGCATTTCCAGCAGTACTGTATGAGTTCCGTATCCTCAACAACAGGAGACATACTCAGTTGCTGAGTTCCTGTTTTCGTCTTTCTTTAACTATTTTATTGTATTTATTTTTTTATTTAACTATTTTAGCAGATATGCAATGGTTTGTTTGATTGCTCTTTTGTTTTTAATTTTTAGTTATTTTATGCTGTTTTCTTTTATGCAGTGGTTTTAATATCACTTGGTTTTACTTTGCATTTCTTCAATGATCAAGAATGCTGTAGGGGCTGGAGAGATGGCTCAGTGGTCTAAAGCACCTACTTAGAACAAGCTCGGCAAGGCATCAGGGACCGCGGTTCAATCCCCCAGCACCACATGCCAGCCAGCCCCGCCCCCTGGTGGGCTGAGCTGGCCACACACAC